GCAAACTGTGCCAGCACCTCAGGGCCCGCCTAAGGGCCTGAAGCATGGAGAAGGGGACCACCCGGGGCTAGCAGCCAGGGACTGGACCTGCTTCCTACATCCAGGCAAACTGTGCCAGCACCCCAGGGCCCACCTAAGGGCCTGAAGCATGGAGAAGGGGACCGAACCTCCCTCCCACAACCAGGCACACCATGCCAGTGCCTCAGGACCTGCCCTGGGACCCAGGGCATGGAGAAGGGGACCGGATCCCCCTCCTACCACCAGGTCTGCTGGGGTGGGAAGGCCAGGTGGCAGGACATATGAGAAAGGAGAATAAATATATGTGTGCATTTTTTGTGCACAGGTACCTTTGGAAGGACACCCAAGAAACAGGACAGCAGTTGCCACAAAGAAAGGAAATTCAGTGGTAGATGATAGAATTTTTACAACACAATGTGTTTGTGGATTTCCCTCCTGCTGATTATTGCTTGGATAAATACCAAGCATCATATCCACAGTAGGCTCACCAAGGGATGAAATATTGGAGCCTAGGATATCAAAAGGTCATCATTAGATCTGGGGGACCTCAATGTCTTTGCTGGATAGTCCCTGAAGAATTCTGACTGGTCTCATATCATTTAAGCTTTCTCCATTCGAGCAAGCTTCTCCCATATACCTCTTGGTTTCCTACTTGGGATTCTCTGTAATTATCCCTCTACCCCTTCTTCCTGAGTTATCTAATGATTTACTCTACCTTTCAGATGCTAATGACTCTTCAGTTTATACCTCTAGGCCTAGACATTACCTGAATGGAGGAGATGCACCTGCTAATTCATCATCTCTCCCCACAAGCCCTCTTGCTATTTATTCTGTTATTACCCAAGCCAGGAATGTGGAAACTTCCCTCAATTCTTCCCTTTGCCTCTCCCCACCCCACCCTACATCCAATACATCCCCAAATCCTGATGATTTGACTCCTAACTACCTCTGGAATGCATGTCTTTATTCCTGGCTGCTCTACACCTCCAAGCATTTGAACTAAAGGGCAAGTCCTGATCATCTTTCGCCTTTACCTGTGCAATAGTCTCCTGATAAGTCTTCCTGCCTCCATTATGGATCTCTCCGATCTGCCCTGAGTGATCCTTCTAAAACACTAATCTGACCAGGTCACTGTCCCATTAAATCCTTTGCCAACTTCTCCTCACCTAAAACAGTTGTTTTAGCCATAAAATTCCTAGAGAAAAAAAGATATTCCATGAACAGATCTCCCATAGGCAGACCAGATTTCTTAGGGAATACTCAGGAACAAGACAAGCTGTGGTCCATACCCAATTCCTATTCTATTAGAGGTAAAGCAACTCCTTTCTCTCCCACTGGCCCTGTACATGGTAGGTTGTAATAAGTCGATAGGTCCAAAAACCCCATCTGAGAACTTCTGACCCAGCCACAGACTAGAGTCCAGACTCCACAGAATGCCTATAAGGCCCTTCTTGGTTGTATCTGAATATTTCTTCAACCCCATTTTTTGTCACTAATTTCATACCCCTTCAGATGCTCAAGCACTTCAGGTGATTTTACTCTCATTTCTAGATCTACATTATTCTCTCTGCCTTGAAGGTCCTTATCTGCCTGAAAAACTCCTATTCGTTCTTTAAAAACCTACCATCACTTTTAATCACTCTTACTTCTGTAAGTACTGTTTCTGTGCCCTGTACGAGTTTCTATCATTGCATGGGTCATGTGCCTTGCAATGACATGTTACATACTCCTACCACCCAAGTCTCTAAGCACTCTGAAGGCAAGAACCATGTCGCAATCATCATAGTATCACCAATGTTTGGCCCAGTCTCTGACACGTAGTATTCATTCAGGAAATGTTTTTTGAACAGAACTGAATCCGTATTTTTCCCTTGTTGTCTTTCTAATGTTGATGCACCTGATCTTACTCAATTTAGTTCTGCATTATGTATCTTACACAGGTTTTCATTTGATCCTTGTATCCTTACAAGCCTTGATAAGTTTCAGTGTAAGTTATATTGGTCTCTGGTTCATGTCTGACCTTACCAAGAAAAACCAAGTTCAAACAAGATAAACAGGAGTATCCCCAATACTAAAATGCAGCTAAAAAGTTGTAAGCCAAAAAAGAATCTAGAAAATATGAGCCAGAGTACAAAAATACATCACTGTTCATTCAACAGTGTCCTTGGGAGAGAGGTGCTGCATCCATTGGTCCCAGAGGTCAGCTCTTCTGTGGAAGAGGGTAATGGTAAATCATGTCCCTTAAGGCCACCTAATTTCCATTGTTCTAAATACACAAGTTCTAGGCCACCTTTTGGGAGTAATTTAGTGTCCCGGGCATCTTGATAACAAGATGGAGAGACTCTGGCATTTCAGTCACTGAAATATAGGTACTCCCAGAAGCTAATGTGTAGGCATTCTGGTTGACACATCCATCTCTTGTGTGTTTGATACACATAGATCAGTCCTCAGGAGCAGATTCAACTCTGGGTGCGTTAGAAAATTAATTTCGTGATGTCCCTATAGAGCTTTCACAAGGACACAGTGATGACCTCAAGGTACTTCCATCCTTGGTGGCCCAGAGTAACCAGACACCTTTTTTGTCGCTCCTTTTAATGACATTTAACTACTTCTGTATAACACATTCTCCGTTCACAAAGTATTTTCACACTGTATTTTTTATCCTCTTGATGTCTAGAGGCAAATATTCTAATCCCCATTTCACCTACAAGACAACTAAAGCTCAGGATGGCTGAGTGACTTGACCAAAGATCCACACATCCTGTAAGCTATGGATTATTTTTCTTTGCTTGCCCTTTAAATAGCACAGTGGAGTAAACCCAGGCTCTCTGCATCACATTTTCTTGTTCTTTCTACTCCATTATAATATTTTCCAAATTCTCACTTCAGTCCAGGTGGAAACAGATCTGGTGAAGGTGTTTTGTCTGGCTAAACCCACAGCTGGTGTCACCCCAAAAGTAGTGGCCAGGGAGTTTCCATGAGGGGAATGTCCCAAACTGTCCCAAGACAGGGCCAGTTGGGATTCCAAAGAAAGAAGCACTAAGCACCACAGTGATTGGTCCAAAGTATTTGTTAGGAGGACTTACATACAGAGTGGGCTGCAGAGTCCACACAGTGTACAGCAAAACAAGGAATGTTCGACTTAGGTATGTCAGCAATAAGAGGCTTGGGTTATGACGCTTATATGACGATTTAAGGAATTGAGAGTTCAGGGCAGAGACTAGTTTCTGTGTGTTTAGCAAAAGGGTTAATTCTCAGTGTTTTCAAGCAACAACCTAAACAGACTTGTCAGAACCTGGAAATGTTCAAGACTCCAGCTTGGGTTCAAGACTGCAGGGAAAACATATGGCTGGTTGGGTCACAGAGCAGTTAACACACTCAGTGTTTCTTAGTCAAGACCAAGGAAGAAAGTGGGAGGAACTGGGGGACCCCACAGAAGGAGTGACTGGAGAGGAAGGATACAGCTCACCTGGGTTGTGTTATGTGACACCCTTGTTGATTATAGCCTCCTCATTCCACTTAGCCCTGTCTGACACTGGAGCTAGGAAGATCTTTTCTAAGAGGAAACTAAGAAAATTGATTCTCAGAGAAGTTAACTGACTTTTTCATGGTCATAGAATCATTGTGAAGCTGATGTTCACTTGTTCTTTTGAACAAGTATCTACTGAGCTGTCTGGCATCCAACAAGCAATGTTACAATAGCCAGTCAGCACTACATGGTGATGCTCAGCCATGTTCATTCATCATCTTATTCAATCCTCACAATAATTCCCACAAGGAAGGCATTATTATCTCCATTTTAGAGATACTAAAACTGAGGTGTAGACAGGTCTTTAAGTTGTACATTATCATAGAACTAGTAAATGGTGGCCGTAAGATTCAAACCCAAGCTTATCTGAGTCCAAATAAATGTCTGTGCTTCTGACTCCTGTGCTAGCCCTTGTACTAATTCACAAGTACAGGCTATGTGTCAAACAGGGAGCCTCTTAGATTAAGCAGAGCTGTGGATGGTGGCCTGAAAGAGAGGGAAAATGGCACGTCCAACTCTCTCTTACCACTCTTGGTTCTTGAACTCCCCAAGACAATGTTTGTATTCTGGCTGCAGTAGCTGCTGACCCTACATTACCCCTGGCCCTCTCATCCCTGGCTATTCCACATAAACAATTACTTTTCCATCCAGTACTTTCCCGTCTTCTCAATGCCAAACCCCTCCTTCCCAATGTGCTTGCTCACTGCCTTTTTCAAGAAGCCTTTGCTGATAAATCAAACCTACCACCCCAGTGTCTGCATTTCTCCATGACATCCCCACCCTCTGGGGAAGAGCTTGCTTTCTGTGATTCCACTCTAGTTAAATGTTGCCTAATCAGCCTCCCCTTCTTTCTCATGTTCATTTTGTCCTGACTCCCCCATATGCCATGTGGCTCTAGTGTCTTCTTTCACTCCCATAAAACACCCATCCAGGATAGACAGTGCCATAAACAAAAGAGATTGAAATGCAGAGAGAATTTCAAATGCAGTTTATTGCAGCAAAACAAGGAAATGGGGAGTTTAAGACATCTCCACAAAAGACAAACAACTTGCTTACACCTTATGTACAAACCAAAGCTGCACAGAGATAGAATACTGAGGAGCTGTCCAGAGCATGTACTCTGATCCATCACAGCGAAGAAACCCTGGGTCTAACTGGCCTTTCTCTGGCTGGCTTAAGGAGGTGCTTTGAAACGTCATGTGTGCGGTGGTAACTACTGAACTGTTTCTCAGGCAAAGCACTAAGTAGGTCATAGCCAGGGTACTGAGATTGCCACTGATCTGAAAACTTCTTTGGGAAGCAGAGCAGAAAAGAAAGAGCTGGGGAAATAGGATGCACCAGCATAACTAACGTAGCTCTTTTCTCCAATAAGGCTGGTACAATTGACCTTGGTCTTGCCAAGTATATTTGGTAGTGATGGAGACGGAGAGCTCACGGGACAGAGAGCACCTCTCTATCTGCTTCCTCGGGGATAACTGGAGGAAACAAACTTCACGCTGGAACTGCCTCCAGAGATCTTGGCACCCCCAGAGCTGGATCCCCGGCCTCCTGAGGAGCCTCCAGAGCTCCCACCACCCCCTCCAGAACCACCTCTGTGGCCCCCAATGCTGCCTCCGGAACTGTAGCTGCCGCGGCCGCCACCGCCACCTCCGGAGCCATAGCTGCCACCGCCACCACCTCCAGAACCATAACTGCCACCTCCAGAGCCGTAGCTACCACTGCCACCGCCGCCGCCAGAGCCGAAACCTCCGCCTCCTCGGCCACCACCTCCACTGATGGTGGTGTGGCTGGTGCTCACAGCTGCAAGGGGAGACTCAGTTATCTTTAATCCTAACTCCCTCTCCAACCCAACAGAGCCTGCAGGTACCCCTGGGAAATCGGCTTATACTTACATACGCTCACGTTCGGAGCACACTCTCCAGACATCCTGTAGGAGAAAAACAGCAAATCTCTCATGACACTCCAGCTTTACAAACCCCTTCCCCATGCCATCTCAGCCATCTTGAGGACTCTCCCCATCTGGGGCTCCTCCAATCCATTTGATCTGAAACCTAATCCAGTTCCCTCTGGCCTCCCAAACCTCTGTCATTTTTCTCAGCATGACTACAAATTAGGGAGAAATCGCCTTATAAATTAGACAAGAGTCTTGCAACTCATGAGGGCCACCTCTAAAGTCACTGACTTGAGGCCAGATGACATCTGAGGCATCCCGGATGAAGAATGAATTACTGCATTTCAAAGTTCTTCATAGAGATGTTATAGACCTCAAAAAAAGAGAAAGAAAAAGCTTGGGACTCTGGCTCCCAAAGTGAAACCAAATTTTTCCTTTTGCCACCGGTACTCTTTATTTCCCCATTCCCAGGACAAGCTGCAGTCAGGTGGCTGCAACTTCAAGCACAATGAGCTTGCAAGGAAGAAAGCCCATAAGCAGTGGTCTTACCACTTCTTATGAGGGTCCCTTCCTCACCTGCTTTCTTCTCCTTCCAGGAGGGTTCTGTAGGTGGCGATCTCCATATCCAGGGCCAGCTTGGTGTTCATCAGCTCCTGGTAGTCACGTAGCAGGCGGGCCAGGTCCTCCTTGGACTGCTGCAGAGCCTCCTCTAGCTCATTCAGCTTGTTCTGAGCATCTTTGAGAGCATTCTCACCACGCTGCTCAGCATCGCTGATGGACTGCTGCAAGCTAGAGATCTGAGAAAGGAGAATCCAGCACATTACGCCTTTGCATATTACCTAATCCCAACTTGGCCTTCTCATCTCAGATTGAGCTCCTCACCCCAGTGAGGCCAATACATGAGTCCAATAGGACCACTGGACCTTCAGCCATCTCACACATTCACCTGCCTCTGGATAGCTCATCACCATGTTCCTTAAAAGACCTTGGACATCAGAACCTCTCTTAGCCCTGAGTCAAGACTCGCCCAACCCTTACAGACTTGGCATGCTTCTAAATGCTTACCCTAAAACCTCCTGGCTGCCATTCCTCTCACCCCCCAACTCTTAAGTCTCACTTTGGGTCATGGGCTAGGTCACTCATTCTGACCACTGCATCTTTCTCTACTAGGCCATTTTCGCAAGTTGCCCTAAAGAGAACTCAGCATGACCACTGAATTCTGGAAACCAGCATAGTCATCAAAGGAACTGGGGATAATAATGTAGCCTTAGTATAGATTGCAACATTCAAAACTAGGAAAGCACCCCCATTTCCTGAGGGCCACCCCCATTCCATGCAGCTGAGTGCTAGAAGAAGGAAGTATGTACCTGCTTCTTAACACTGTCGATTTCAGATCTAAGTCTCTGGATCATCCGATTCAGCTCAGAAATCTCCATCTTTGAATTTTTCACGCTGTCACCGTGTTTGCCAGCAGTAATCTGCAGCTCTTCATACTAAAAATCATGGATCACATCAGTTAGACGTGGGCATGACTCAGGCACACAAATAGGTAACACAGAATAGCAAGACAGGACATTTCAGAGAAACTGGCCATGCATTCAGGCCATTCACCTTGGTCTGGTACAAGGTCTCGGCCTCAGCCTTGCTCCTCTGGGTGATATCCTCATACTGGGCCTTGACCTCAGCAATGATGCTATCTAGGTCAAGGTTGCGGTTGTTGTCCATGGAGAGGATAACATTGGTTTCGCTGATTTGAGTCTGCATCTGAGACAACTCCTGCAAGGCATGATAGTGCAGTGAGTCTAATAATGCTAAAACAAAAAGCAACTTAGATAGAGGGAGGGAACAGGAGATGGAAGATACATCTCTATTCTTCTGTGTAGTGGTGGGTTCAGGCTTGAAGGCCCTCCATTTAGGTAAACTTGGTGGAAATTAGAAAACTCACCACTTGGAAGAGTGTTGAGAAGAAATCGATATCCTGCTGCAGGTTGTCAGCTCTGGCCTGAAGCTCCACCTTGTTCATATAAGCAGCATCCACATCCTAAAGGTACAAAGGACATCATGAAGCCATATTCTTTCTAAGGCAGGTCCCTTTCACTAGCTGTGAGTGGATTTTCCAAGTAGAAGAGGAGTTTGGGGTCTACTCCTCACCTTTTTACTCCACATAGATCATAATTCCTAGATTGCCTCACCCCTGGATATCACAGTCAAGGGAGCTGGCCTGCCTTTCTGAGAATTTGCCTCCCACTTACTATGTAAGGTGCTGGGAAATATTGAGAAGCTGAGTGCCTACATAAGTCCAGGTCCATGATAATGTTTAAAAAAAAAAAAAAAACAAAACTCTGTTCCAGATATTCATCAGGCCCACTACCTTGTTCTTCACATCATGGTTTCTTTCTGCTTACTAATTGGAGACCCTCTTCTATTATTTATTTCAGATGTGAGTTCTATCCTACAAAATTTGCTCACCTTCTTGATGGTCACAAATTCATTCTCTGCATTTGTTCGCTTGTTGATCTCATCCTCATACCTGCAAGAAAGCATAAATGATTAGGAGATGCAAAGGCAGTGAGGCCTGAAGTCCAGCATTCTAGACTAAAAGTGGCATTGCCTGTCATTATCTCTCTATTACATTATTAGGCTGGGACATCTCAGCCACCTCTTTCTTCTAGACAAGAAAATCACTAGACCATTTCCATCTTCTGAGAAGATGGAGGCTTCTGAAAATACCAAATTGATTTGCTTCTAACCTAAGAAAGGACATAGCTACATACTGCTTCATTATCTTAACTTATCGATTTCTGGAAATCTTTTAGAGCAAGATTCAGGACTTTCTTACTTGTTCCTGTAATCCTCCACCAGGTCTTGCATGTTCTTTAGTTCTGTGTCCATCCGAGATTGGTCACTCTTCAGTTGGTCCACTTTCCTTCTAAGATTGTTGATATGTGTCTCAAAGTAGGGGTCTAAATTGTGGGTTCTAGTGGTGGTGTCTATCTGCTGCAGCAGCTCCCATTTTGTTTGCAACACCTGGTTCTGCTGCTCCAGGAACCTCACCTAAGAACACAAGACCCCATTACTCCTGGTGCTGAAGTGAGGTCCCATGGCCACTGAGTGCCAAGTGCCAGCACAGAGCAAGGCCCATGCTTCACTTGGAAAAGAACTTTAGTTCCATCTTCATAATGAAACCCAACTCATTGTTAACTCAGAGCAGCTTTGGAAGGGAGTAGCTATACAAATACCAATAGCAAAGCACATACAAAATTATTGCAATTATGCTTGGAAATAGATACATGATATTTAAGAGATTTGCCTTCTAATTTTTTATAAAAATTGGTTTGCATTCCCTGGGCATATACACAGTTCAAAAGTATGTTGGAAAAATCCAAAATTGAATTTGAAATGTATTTGAATTTGAAATTACAGTACCAATGTAAAATTCTCAGAGGGTAGAGCTCACCTCTGACAGCAAAAGATGCTTGGCACTGATTTACTACATACTTTTTCTTATAATATCACAATGCTCTCTATTCATATTCAGCTCCCTTTTTATGGTTAGGAAAACCTGTCTAGGGTTCTCATTTGTACCCTAGAAAGTTCAGTTAGCCCCATTTCTATTATCTTCATTCAATAAATGTAAGTCCCAATACAGCTAAAAAGCTGAAGAAAAAACACTTAAAGGTAATGTCAGACTGACCCATGTTTATGTAGACCACAGACCCCTTTGTCCAAGAGAGAGTTCAGTCATTAGCACCATTCACAAGCACACTTTTAACATAACTCCCAGAAGACCACTCCATAAAATATCCTTTTAATCATCCAAACACAGAAACTCAAGGTTCAAATCCACACATGTCTTGGCTGTACCAATCTCAAATGGACCAGGAGCCACTCTCCCAGTGCACTGAGCAGATCAACTCACCTTGTCGATGAAGGAGGCAAATTGGTTGTTGAGTGACTTGATTTGCTCCCTTTCTCGAGACTTTATTTTTTGGATCTCAGGGTCGATCTCCACATTTAGGGGTTGCAGAAGGCTCTGGTTGATGCTGACTTCCTGTATGCCACCAGGGGGGCAGACAGGCCCAAAACCACCCCCATATCCACCACCCCCAAAACCACCTCCACCAAAACCACCTCCACTGCCAAAACCACCACCACTGCCAAAACCACCACCAAAGCCACCACCACCAAAGCCGCCGCCACCAAAGCTGCCACCACCAAAGCCACTACCACCATAACCACCACCAAAGCCACTACGTCCACCTCCTCTAGCCACACTTATGGAGATGCTTTTACTACCACCAAGGTTAACAAGACTCCGACTTCCAAAACCACCACCAGCACCTCCACCACCACAGAATCCACCTGAAAATCTCCCACCACTTCCTCCACTGCGGCGTGTGGAGCTGCCAGTGGTCCTGCGCTGGAAGCTGACTACCCCAGCAGAGCCAGAGCTGAAGCCCCCTCCGCTCCGGTACCCAGACCTTGAACTAAACTGTCGACTCATGTTGACTCAGAGAAAGGTAGCAGCAAAGTAGAAAGAAGAAAGGAGCTAAACACTCCTCTACCCCAAGCACAGATACTTCCCCTTATATACAGGGAGGAAATTTGGGCTTGGTCCTCTGGAGTCAGCGGAGATGCAGTGCCTTTTAAGGGTTTGGCTTGCCTGCAGCCATACAAGATTTTTACGAGCCTCAACAATACGATAAACACTACACACCTAGCTCCCAGGATGGGCTCTCAAAATTGCTGCGCATGCAAGATTGGCTAGTGTGGTAATCATTTTATCAGACAAGATCTCTCTTTAAGTGTTCATGAGTTTGTGAAAATAAGACCCCACATCTGCTACCTGGTGTTCAGTGGCAGGATTTCATGACCCCCATCACAAAGGTATGTAAGTTTCCATTCTTGCCTTGCCCTTCTAATCAACTAAGCATATATACTCTCTCCCTATGCACAGCAGGTGCAATGCCCCATGCTTGGATTTCAGGAGCTGTCTTGCCCATTTCTGAGATTTGCCCTACAAAACCCAGGGCTCACCAAGTTATATCTCCTGACATAGAGTAAGGTCTTTAATAACTAAAACATTTAAAGCTTTTTTGCTGCATTGACTAGTTAAAGGAAGAGATGCTGTCATCAAACAGGATGGATGGGTAGGTGCTCTAGAGAGATAAGGAGGGAAAATCATGTTATTTTCTAGGTTTCCCAGTTGTTCCTTTTCTTCAAAGATAGACAAGGGCAGGAGACAGACACCAGAGGCACGACAGAGACACCAGCAACAGAAAACAGGTGCCAATGGACAGCATGCAAATGCCTGGTGAAAAAGCATGTGGAGCAGTGAGATGAGTAAATAGAAGCCATTTAGGACATTTTGTAAATCAAAGGAGTGGAGGTGAGGCTTGACAGTGGGTTCAAGCTGTGCACTGGACTTAAAAAGAGATGAATGTGGATTTGGAAGGGAGGACAATGACGGCAGTCTGGAAAGCCTGATCTGAGACATTTAAATTGTTTCTGTAGGCAATGATAATTATAATAGCTAACATGTATCAAACACTGACCATGTACCAGGCACTGTTCTGCATATTTTATATGTATTTAACTCAATTTTCACAATTTTGAGATAGATGTTATTATTCTACCCATTTCAAAACTGAAGAAACTGAGGCACAGGGGTTGAATAACCTGCCCAGGTCCACTGGTAAGTGGCATAGCTGGGGTTTGAACTGAGAATACCTAGCTACAGTGTGCAAGATCCTAACCCACGTATGACAGCACAGCAACTGAATTTGTTACCCTGCCTGCTGTCCCACTGCAGAGAACTCCAAGGGCAGGAAGCCTAGTTCAGGCCTTTGAATCCTTGGCTCCTGGCACATGCAAGTACTTAAATATTTCTTCAGTTCACTCTGAGGAGGGAGATTGGAAGCACAGAGTTCGGTGAGGAGATTTTGCTTCTGTCCAGGTGCAGGAGGAACCAGAATGCCTTGTGATGGGCCACAAAACCCCAGGGGCCTTCCCGGGGAGCAGCACTTGATCAGTATCAATGGGTAGTGGTGGTATTGACATCTGGAAAGACCAGAACCCACAAAGACTCTCATTCAGAGACTTCTTAGAAGCCTGGCACTCTCCCCACACTTGCATGTAAATATAGAGTTGAAGAGTTAGGGGGTGAAGCCAGCTCTAATTTTAGCTGACTCCAAGCAGCTCTGTGAGTGGTAAATCACAAAGATGCATGGGAAGTCTCCACAATGGAATGTAAGATCAGCAGGAGAAAAGAAGTCTGTGAAGCCCATCAGTCCATTGCCCTGTGGCTCTGAACCAGGACACTGTGTCCATCCTCTTCACCCCACTCCCCACCATTGAGCTGTGTCCCTCTTCTTCTCCCATGGTTTTTGCCCTACACCTTCCTCCAATAAGTGCCCCTCACTCTCCACCATCTCCTCTCTTTGCCCCCCATCTCCACGGCACTGTTGTCTGGGACTCTGTCTTAGCACTGACATCCTTAGGCTGCTAACCCAATATCTCTTTAGGGAATAAGTAATCCAGGTCTTGTTTAAAACAATGGGGCCTGGGATGGCCTTGGCATGGTAATGACTGTTGCCTAATCATTTTCTGACAGGCAATCAAAATTTTTTAGTTCAGCATACTCCCTCATGAGACATATCGTTCTGCACAATCGATTCTTCTAGCATTTTGGAAGGGTGTGCATATGTGTAGCATGCATGTCTGTATGCATGTGTGTGCCAGCCAAACACAGATCTTTGTAGTGATTGGTGTTTCTGTCCACAAACTAAGAAACTGACATAGAGAAAAATCAAAGAGATGGATGGCCAGGCAATCAGTAGACAATTTACAGAGCCGTAAAACTTACTCTAGGTGCTACTGTGAAAGGGGAGAAACGCAGGAACTAGAAAGAACAAGGAGGCATAAAAGTCACCATCAGCTTACATTTGCGTAGCTCACTGCACCAAACACACGCACAAACACTGTCCCCATGAGCCCTGAGAACAAGACAGCCAAGCTCCTTTCAACCCATTTTATGAAACAGAAAGTTGAGGCTCAGAGAGATTAAGTGGCTTGCTCTAGACACTCCAGCTAGGAAAAGACACATCTGGAACTAGAACTTGGGTTTTCCGGTTTCAATTCAGTGGTCTTCCTTTTGAACTGGAGAAGAGGCTCCAAGACAGGCAAGTGGAAGTGGTTCCTGTAAACGAGTGCACAGAGGATCACAGAATATTCCTGCCCACAGGGACTCAAGGGCCACACCATCTACCCTGCCTAGCAGAGAAGTGAGAACGCAGGTCCAAAGAAGTAAAAAAAATTGTCCAATCATACAATCAACTCCTGGGAATCCTCCGATCTCTGAATCAAACTCCTATCCTCTTCACACTGCTCACTTGTGAGGCAACGCACTGGGCTGGAAGTGCAGCGCAGCCGCTGACCCAGTGTTCTGCTTCCCATGGTGTCCCCCAGATTGTGGTGGGTGTGTGAAGATATTAAAAAACAAACGTGGGACAAAGGTGTGAACACACACCCTCATTCCAGGCTCATTTGTGTACTCTGAATTTATAACATAAAGACAAAATGAGAGGGGCACTACCATCTACAGGGACCCACTACATGTCAGGAGCTACGTCTCATTCACACAAGCACAGGAAGTCCATGTGGTTGTAGTCAGTAGCCCCACTTTAAAGAAAAGACGACTTGGGTTTGTAGAGGTTAAACTACAGCCTGAGGTTACCCAGCTGGCAACTGACCCGCCATGCTGCCCAGTTCCAGCGTGCCCACCTGCTTCACCCACAGCCTCCTCCTGTGCCTGGCCTAACTTCATCTCCTGCTCACCCTCTCACCCAGACTCATGCCTCAACCCTTCCTCCCCCATGCCGTGCCCAGATCTTCATCACTCTTGCCCCTTTTCCTCTCCATTCCTATGCATCTTCCAAGCCACCTGCTTCACCCACAGCCTCCTCCTGTGCCTGGCCTAACTTCATCTCCTGCTCACCCTCTCGCCCAGACTCATGCCTCAACCCTTCCTCCCCGATGCCGTGCCCAGATCTTCATCACTCTTGCCCCTTTTCCTCTCCATTCCTATGCATCTTCCAAGCACACTTTTATTCTTCTACTCTCTGGAAGGCCTTCCAGATGCTTCAGTAACTCACTTCACACCCCTGGGGCACCAAAGACCTCAATGCCCACACATGTGGCCCTGAACCTATTCCGGTGCATCAGGCCTTCAGAACAAAAGTCTTCATCTCCCCTGCCCCATCGGGCAGTGGACGGGTCCAGATTTCACCTCTTCCAGGGAGTTTTCCTTGATTAACACCAGGCAGCTGCTCTGCTGGTTTCTTTTCCTGAGCTCACTTGCTACCAAATTCAAGTGCATGTTGGTGTGTTGGTTGACTCATTCTTATGTGTGTGTGTGTTTGACTGTGTGTTTGCTGGCCCCTCAATTGTGCTGAGACTTTTGCAAGCAAGACTAAGTCCCCGGTGTCTTTGGGTGCCCCCCCATCCTCCCACACAGGCTCCTACACGTGAGGGGGACCCCCAGCAGTGCTGGGTGACAGAGTGCCAGAATGCCTCCAACCCGGGGACTCACACACACACACCCCAGAATGATGGCTGCAATGAGGCTGCCATGGGCTGGCTGCGGGGCATGGCGGGGGCAGGTGTGGTGATGTGTTGAGAGCTTTTTGAGGGATGGGACTGAGAAAAGAGTTGAAAAGAGACATGCAGTGACAAGTCACCCAGCCCTGCGGGACTCCACCAGGGACGTGGGAGAAGGAAATCTCAGAGGAGTGGGGAAAGCCAAAGCTGGGAGGAGTAAAGGAGAATCACAGACAATTGGGAGGTGGGGTGAGATGTTGAAAGCCAACAGCCAGCAGAGGAGGGGCCGAGGCTTCTTATGCGGGAGGGAGAGACACAGACCGAGGGGCAGCCCTGTTTAGGACAGACAGTGGAGAAGGAGTCCCCAGGAGTCCCTCACTAGCAACATTGGAGAAGAGCGGAGGCCAGAAAGGAGAAAGCTGAATATGAGCACATAGGAGAGAGGCAGTGGAGCTTGTCCTTCCCTGTGCCCCCGCAAGGATCCCACTCCTGGCTCTGCACATTTCTAGCTGTGTTGCCCTTGGCAGGTCACTGACCTTCTCTGAGCCTAAGTTTCCTCTTCTGTAAAATGAGCACTATATCTACCTTCCAGGGAAACTGCAGTGGAGTAAATGACAGACAAAGTGAAGAGGAAGGATTCTCTCTCACCTTGCACTTGGGAGGACCCAGAACCTGATATAATAATCAGGAAAACTTTGGAACAAGGCCCTGTTTCACTGGAAGTTTAAGTTCTTGAAATGAGGCCATGTTATGAGAGAAAGCCTTGGGGGGCCCACAAACTTGTCTTAGGGAAGCTAGGGGCCCATCACAGAGAAGAAGGGATGCTAGGTGTGCCTGGAGCTGAAGGGAGCTAGGGCTGGCTGGGCCCTTACTCTCACTGCGGAATGGTGGCTCTACAGGGTGGGGACGAGCCCCAGGCCTGAGCACACTGGAACAAGCGTGGTAGCCAGCTGCACACTCGGAGTCCCCTAGGAGCCCTTCCAGGCTTAGGATTAGGCTGTTCAGAACCAATGCTCCATGATAGAGAACCTTCCAACACCCCGAGTTCCCAGCTCAGCGCTGCAACAGATCATTATCAACCTGAAGACATCCAGTTTTTCAGACTGATCAGAAAGCTGATAAAACCAGGGTGACAAATCCAACAAAATAATGGGAGCTACACTGAATTTGACTAGGGACTGCCAGGGCACACAGCTCATCCTGAAGACACATCCTGGGCCAAAGGGCTGGGTAATTGAGGGTGAGGTGACATTCTCAAAAGACTCTTCCTGAGACCAAGATCTTTCCCAGCCCAGAAACGTACACTTTGTCCAGGGTCAGACAGAGTTAGAATTTTATTGAGCCAATGGTTGCTCCTCCTGTTCACCATGTCCTGAGATCAAAATCTCTGTAGATGAGAGGCTGGTGAAATTAAATTTAGATTTCCAGAGCACCCCGCCCTGTCACAGCTTCTCAGAGGGAGGAGCAGCTGGCAAGCCCTCCCTGGGACTCAGCGCCCTGAGAGCCGCGCTTCCTCCTACGGGCCCTCTGTTTGGTTCATGGATGTGCCTGCTTTGCTTTCCCTCGTGGGAATAGCATTGATCAGGGGCAGGGATGGAGTGCTTCACAGTCCATGGAAGGACTACAGAGCCCCCACCCACTCTCTTCCGGGTTCCCATGGCTGTCCCCAGCAGCCACCACGCCCTATTGACTCATGTGTTCTCACTGTCAGCTGTGCATGCTAAATCATTTTTATGCCACTGCTCTCTGCCCGTGTCTTCCCTTCCTCGTCCTTGTGCTCTTGCGTTTTGACTTCAAGTGCAGGGCATTGCATCTGTCTGCTCCTTCTCTCCTTCCTTTGGGCAGCCCCTCTGCTCACCTTTCCCTTTCTCAGCCTGTCCCCCAACAGGCCTGCCACCAAGATAGATGAGATGGGGAGAAACTTTTCAGAGAGAATGTAGGGGTGTGCCTGGGAACACAATGTTTTATCAGTATGGGTTGCCATCATATATCAATGAATCCCATATCCAAATTCCATCTGTATTCCTACAGGGAATGAGAAACTAGGTCACATCTTTTATGTGACTCCTTTACACAGACTCAGAAATACCACATAGGAAAAGGTGATGCCTCAACTAGGTCCATCTGTGCTTCCCTCGAGGCATCGATTAAAGACACTCCTGCTCACAACCCCCACTCAGTTAATGGGCCTCGGACCCTTGTCCCACCCAGCTTCTCTTGTCCAGCTGCTCCCTCTCGCCCACACACATTCACTTTCTCTTATCTTTGAGTCTCTGAGCCGACTAATCCCCTGTCCAAAGGGCCCTTCCAGGACCTCCCTGCCTGCACCTCTCTTCCCCAACCCTGTTCTACTTTCCAGTCCTCCAGAAGGCTATTGGGACCAAACTTCCCTTCCCCAGCATTGGCACTTGCTGCGGGTCCCGCTGCTCCTGTTTTGGTGGGTCTGCCTGTGTCCTCAGGATAGGCCTTGCTTCTACCCTCAGGCTAGGAGGTCCACAGAGATACACACTCTGATTTCTCCTCCCTCTGAACCCTCCCTTCCCCATAATATATAATTTGAGTTGTGAGCACCTTAAGTTTCAGAAGATTCATTTGACATTGCATTCTCACTTCCTAGGCCACTGCCTGTCACACAGTAGGAGCTTAACTAATGCCCACTGAACAAATGTGTAATTGACTTTTGAATGATCAGCTACTTTAAGGGTTAGTAAGATTATGTCCACAAGGTTCTTTAAGATCGTGCATTCCTTGTGCAATGAAAAAATAGTAAAAATAGTAAACTCAAACTTCCTAAATATGAGCAATTTCAGAGGCCTACAGAAATTCAAAAAGGAATAATTCATCTCCTGTACAAACAGCAGTCTGAGATAACAGAAAATTTTATTATGGAAACACCAAAAATGCCAAGCCCTTCAAGGTACAATTTTGAACCAGGTAATGATGTAATCACAAGCAGTCCCCAAAGGACCCATACTGAGCCCATCAGATGCCCCGAGAGAATCTGGACTTGGAGGCTGTGTGAGGACTACGCAGGCAAGCGGAGATGACTCTAGATCTCAGAAGTAAAGCCACATTCCCTCTCTCAAGGCGCATCACTTGGCTGATATTTCCCCCTTCCTGCTCCCTCCAGCACATCTCAAGCATCTTACGTAAGACCCAAAATTAGGAGTCAAATTCTCACAAATGCTCAGAGCCACAGAGAACAGAGGTAGAAAGGACTTATGAGGTCTGGAAAGAGCAGTATACTGCCTTGCAAAAAACAGCAGCTTCCAAACTGGCTTAGGATTGGAACCCTTCCAAGACCCAAATCAGATTCTCGGACCACTCAGGCCTGGGCACCTGGATGGAGCAGGGCTAGACTGCATGTGCCCAGCCAGCTGAGTGATTCTTGGTAGGGTCGTTATGGAGCAGAGTTGAGGAAGGTTCAGCCTTCCAAAGGATGGAGCTGTCGGGAGGGTACAGGACAAAAGCAGAACTTGATTGTCCATCCACTCCTCCATCCACTGCTAAGAACAGTCCTCCCTTTGGATAAGTACTCATGCCCCCGTGCCCTCTGAAATAATCCCACCTTGGTCTGTTAACCCAGGGGACGATGCTTCTCCAGGCAGAGATTCAGAATCAGAACAGACATGACTTACAGGCATCTGAGTAGGAAGCAAATCTACACTCTCCATCAACATAAAAGTAACAGGCTGCAAACCAAGAGGCAGGGACTGTCCCCTGGTGCGGAGGTTCCCCTGTCCAAGCTAGTTGCCTTGCAACCAGCTACTTGCCGGAAGGGATCATTTGGTGAGCGCCCTGGTGGATTATTGTTCACAGAGTGCAGGAAAGGGAGTACAGGGTGGAGACATCAACTCTGATTATCCTCCTCTTAGATGCTCTAAGCCTCTCTTTCCCCGCAGCAAAAGTAGGCCCCTGGATGTCCCCAGGGACGGGAGCAGGGCCAGAGGAGCGGAGTCTGAGTGAGAATGTGGCTGAGTGCCCTCCAACGAGAGAGCTGCCCTTTGGGCTTCTCCACCCTGCGTCCCCACCTAGACTCGGATTTATTGGCAAAACTGTCGAGATCCATCAGAAGGTAAGCGAGAGGGAGGCAGGCAGGGCGTGGGGCGGGGGGAGCAGGGTGCGCGGGACAGGAGAGATTGGTGCGGCGTCGCAGGAGGGTGGCCTCTACTCCAGGATTCGCTTGTGGGAGGTGTTGGTGGAAGTCTGGATGATCTGCACGCGCGACGAGCCGCCGCCGCTTCTGCTGCTTGCTCCGTAGCTCCAGCCGCTGCCGCTCCCGTAACCACCTCCACGGCCCCCTGGGGAGCCCCCTCCCCCGTAACTTCCGCCGCCGCCGCCGCCGCCGCCGCCGCCGCCGCCGCCGCCGCCGCCGCCGCCGCCGCCGCCGCCGCCGCCGCCGCCGCCGCCGCCGCCGCCGCCGCCGCCGCCGCCGCCGCCGCCGCCGCCGCCGCCGCCGCCGCCGCCGCCGCCGCCGCCGCCGCCGCCGCCGCCGCCGCCGCCGCCGCCGCCGCCGCCGCCGCCGCCGCCGCCGCCGCCGCCGCCGCCGCCGCCGCCGCCGCCGCCGCCGCCGCCGCCGCCGCCGCCGCCGCCGCCGCCGCCGCCGCCGCCGCCGCCGCCGCCGCCGCCGCCGCCGCCGCCGCCGCCGCCGCCGCCGCCGCCGCCGCCGCCGCCGCCGCCGCCGCCGCCGCCGCCGCCGCCGCCGCCGCCGCCGCCGCCGCCGCCGCCGATGTTCACCTGGCTGCTGTGCACCGCTGTGGGGGAGAGGGCGGCGCACACAGGTCAGGAGAACCCGGCAGGGGCCCCACCGCGCACCCACCCCTGCACCTGCAACTCCTTACATCCCTGATCACCGGTAGCGCCCGAAAGTATTCCCACTTAAAAAGTACTCTTCCTACTACAGAGGGATGTCAGGGCTCCTTTAAGTAACACATTTTCATTGTTTATTGAATATATACCCTAAATAGCTCCAGCCAGGGCTGATTGTTAGGGTGGCATAAAAGTTAAGATAAGCAGACCTGAAATCATAACCATTTGTCTCAACGAATCATTCCTGGATTTGTGGTTATGTTTGCTTACTTTGGTGTTCACTGTATGGGACTAGAAGCTAAAATGCCAGACTGCCAGTTCCCTCCCGGTCACTTGGCCACCCTCCCCGACCCTCCCTCTGCCCAGCACCAACCAGACAGACTCTGTATCTGGACTCTGCTACTTACAGATGTTCACATGGTTCTGCAGCTCTCCTGACATCCTACAAAACCAAAGCACATGCATCAGCCAGACCCACAGAGCCAGAGGAAAGAAGGCAGGGGCCTGAAGACAGCAGGAGCAGAGACATAGGTGTGAAGGGAGAGTTGTTCCCAAGCCTTAGGGAAAAGTGTATGCATGGGCAGAGGTCAGGGAGCAGGTGGGGCCAGAGGGGTTGCGGGATTTTCACGGAACTTGTTAGCACTGGAGGTCACCACCTGGCTGTGATGGCTTCGGTTGGGGTATGGAGACATTCTGCTTGGAGGCGGGGGAATGATAGCAACACCTCTCTACTCTGCCAATTCACGCATCCTCTGCTTCTAATTTAAATGGTCCTGCTCACCCCGAGGTACTGATCTTCCAGAAAAGCTTCTCTCCAGTTACTCGGTCCCACTGCTCCGTGGGTGCATCCTCAGCTTTGGCTCCAGAGACATGGCTGCCAGACCCACCTGCTCTCCTCGCCCTCCAGCAGCTTGCGGTAGGTGGCGATCTCCACATCCAGGGATAGCTTGGCCCCCAGCATCGCCTGGTAGTCACGCAGCAGCCGGGCCAGCTCCTCCTTGGACTGCTGCAGGGCCTCCTCCATGTACTGCAGCTTCTGCCGTGCATCCTGGATGGCCTGCTCTCCTCTCTCCTCTGCACCCGAAATGGCCGAGTGCATCTGTTCAATCTGCTCCAGAGACAGTTGGAGAACAGTGTGCAGGTTGAGTTTCTGGAGCCCAATCTGGCAGGGCATTGTGGGAGGTGGTGCATCTGGTCAGCCCACCCTGAGCACCCGTCCCACCTGCTTCTTGACATTGCTGATCTCTGCCTGAAGCCTCTGGATTGTGCGGTTGAGCTCGGAAATCTCCATCTTGCTGTTTTTCAGGTCATCTCCATGTCTCCCTGCTGTGATCTGGAGCTCCTGGTACTAAAGGTCAAAGGCAGCGTCAAGGTCAGCACTTGCTGCTCACCACAAGCCCCTCCAGGAGGGAAGGGGTCTGTGCTGCTCTCCCCAGGGAGGTTCCCAGAGTAAGCCCACCTAGAGCTATGCCCCCCATACCCTGGCCAAATACACACCCACACCCACACCAAGCCTCCCTCATTCCACCAGTCTCTGGGCAAGCTCACATCCCAGCCAGACAAACCTGTTTCTTGAAGCCCATTTTGCCTTCTTTTTCACACACCTAAGCCTTCTCACTGACCCTTACCCACACTGAGACCCTTCTCTTTTTCCACCCCACCCTATTCCTCCCTACACTTTTCCAGGATGATTTCCCTAGCAGTCAAAACTTTATGTCCTCAGAGGCCTTCAGCATGCTCCAAGTTCATTGACATTTTCCTCTCTATTTCAGTTACTGTGTCTACCTTGGCCCATCGATCAGAACTCTACCTAGAGGACATGGTTTTAAAGGGGGGCTGGGAGGGGAGTTGACTCAAGGGAATCTCTGCATCCTGATGTTTTCACTCTTGACTACCTGCCTCCCACGTTCAATGCTGAAATCCATTCCATCCCAGAAAACCTGTCTGCAGGACAGTGGGACAGAGGTCAGCCAGGATTGGAGTTAGTCACAAGTAATTCACAAAGCAGATCATCAAGTGTCAGTTGTTCAAAATTTAGTGACTGGGCTATCAGCCTTTGTCCCTTCAACTACAGAGTCTTCACCATCGGCAACACTGAGGGTTGCGACCCGTTGCCGGACACGGAAAAAAGACAAAAAAGACAAAAAAATAAATAAATAAAAATAAAAAAAAAATAAAAAAAAATAAAAAGGTCCAGATCAATTTATGATAAAGAAGTATCAAAGATGTGCCCAATGACTTAGCTACAAGCATGCTTATCTAATAAATAAGGATATAATCACAATGAAATATCACACTGTTAAAAATGATGCAGACTATTTACTGTCACAGAAAGTTATTCATAAGTGATAAATTAAAAAGTACAGAACAATAGTTTAATAGATACCATTACAGAACAAAGCATGGGTTTGTAGACAGCATACCCGAGTTTAATTAAGTTCTGGCTCTACCATTTATTAGCTATGAGACCTTCAGGAAATTAGGTAATCTCACATTGTATTATTTGAAAAATGAGGATAATAATCCTTACCTCCTTGGGCTGATGTAAGGATTAAATGAAATAAAATACTTAAAGCACTTGGTGTGGTGCCTGGAACATATGAGTTCTCAATAAATGTTAGCTACAAAGAACTGGTAGAAAATATGCCAACATACTAATAGTGGTAGTGAAATACGGGTAGTCTTTACCCATAATTTCTTAAATTTCAGTAACAAGCACATTTTACTTTAGAAATAAGAGAACGACAATACAAGTTCTGTTAGGTATCCATTTCTCTTTTGGTGCCAAGTCCAAGGGCAGCACTCACCTTAGTCTGGTACAGTGCCTCAGCCTCGTCCTTGCTCCTCTGTGCAATCAGCTCATACTGGGTCCGCACTGCGTCGATGATGCTGTCCAGGTCCAGGAAGCGGTTGTTGTCCATGGACAGGATGACATTGGTGTCACTGATGTGGGTCTGCATCTGGGACAGCTCCTGAGAAGCAGGGAGCACAGGCTGATTCCTTCCACTCTCCTCCCGGGGCTTCAGTTTCCCTCTGCTGCTCCCTCAAGGCTCTCTGGGGAAGCCAGAAACCTGGGCCAGATGGGATTCTTGGGGAAAAGTTCTTTGAATTGTTGTGTGCAAGGAGAGGTAATGGGGAGAGTCTTAACTGCCTCAACTGAAAATAATAGGGACCCACACTTAGCCTCCAGGGAGAAGAAAGGAGCCTGAACTCGAGCTTTACAGACACCACCCCCACTCCCCTTACACCTCTCCTTGTCCTCTATCCCTGCCTTGCTCTGGGTTGGCCACCACCCTCAGAGGGACCTCTGACAGGCAGACTGCTCCTGGAACCCACATGAGCTCTCAGAGGCAACGGAAAGGACTCCTACCGTGGAGCCACTCAGACTCGCTTTTGAGTCCTGGCTCTACCAATGACTACTTGGATGACTGAGCAAGTCATTTAATATCTCAGCACCTCGGTTTCCTCATCTGTAGAGTGAAGATACCCATAACGTAAGTAAATCATCTGGCCCAGAGCAGGTACCCCCAAGTTAAACACGAACAGTAGGAGGACAAGGGCTGGAGGAGTACATTATCTGTCACCGCTGCACTGTGTCTTCACTCCCTTTACAATCCAGTGTCATCTCCTACAGAGTCCTCTAATAGCCCTATCAACTCCCCCGAATTAATGAGGATTTCTGGTTGGTTTTGCTCCTATGTTTTGGTCCTGGTGTTAACCTCATTTCCAGACAGACTGGGAGCCACGAAGCAGGGACATCGTCACTTTTTCCTCTCTCAGGATTATCCCTGCCCCCAATCTCCACTGCCCCCACCCGGAATCCTGAGGGTTGGGGATTGAGGGGATGGCTGACTCCAGGCCAGAGGTGGGGTGACTGGGGAGATGAGTCCCAATAAATATGCGTTCTCAATAAATGTTAGCTACAATGAATTGGTAGAAAATATACTAACATATTAATAGTGGTAGTGAGATATGGGTAATCTTTACCCGTAATTTCTAAAATTTCGGTAACAAGCACGTTTTACTTTAGAAATAAGAGAGCGACGATACAAGTAATTGTTGGGTTTCAGGCCTCCCCCTCTTACAGCCCATCCTCCTTGTGAGACACCAGAAAAGAAAGGGGTTTCACATAAGGGCTGAGCTCACCGTCATGAATAAATATTGCAGGAAATTGACCTCCCCAGACAGAGTGTCCACCCTGGACTGCAGGTTCATTTTGTTGATATAAGCAGCGTCCACGTCCTGAACAGCAAGCAAAGACAGTTTGGCTTTATTGCCTAGGCATTAACTGCCACCAGCTCAGTGGTGGCCCAGGCAGGTGGCAAAACCTCTCTGGGTTTATTTTCTTGCCTGAAAATTCATTGCCTCACTCAAATGAGGGAACTGCAGACTCTGGCTTTCCTAGCCAGAAGTAGGGGTGACAACAACTCCCACACAGCAAAGCATCCCAGGTCCTTCCCCAGGTCCCAAGGCCACACAACTGATGCTCAAGAGCTGTCAGTTAATTTAGTTGCACTTTCAGGGCCCTGGAGAGATAAGAACTCAAGGATTCATAATTAGTCATATCAGCGTCAGTTTCAGACTTACCCCTCAGTGCAAGGGCCCCACATTTGGGCAACACACACAACACACTGGCCCCAGAAGTGCCCATGTCCATGTCATGGAGCATCCCACCACACAACTGATGCTCAAGAGCTGTCAGTTAATTTAGTTGCACTTTCAGGGCCCTGGAGAGAGAAGAACTCAAGGATTTATAATTAGTCATATCAGCGTCAGTTTCAGACTTACCCCTCAATGCAAGGGCCCCACATTTGGGTAACACACACAACACGCTGGCCCCAGAAGTGCCCATGTCCATGTCATGGAGCATCCCATAGGGATTCCTTACTGTGCCCATCCTCCTAGGTCAACAGCCCCCTGGGGACTCCCCTTTCCCTCACCTTCTTCAGAACGATAAAGTCATTCTCACTGCTGGTCCTCTTGTTGATTTCATCCTCATACCTGTGGGGGGAGTCAAGAAGCACAGACAGACTGCAGGGGTGACCTTGGCACCCTGAAGTTTATCCTCACAGCAGAAAGCTCGGACTTCCCAAAATCCTTATGTCCTGCTCTCAAAGAGCCCTGCTCATGACTGTCCCCTGACAAAAGCCTGGTGCTCTCACTGATGAGCAGCTGGAGCCAGTTCCTGGCTCTCCAAGCCAACAGAGGGGACAGTAACCCAACATGGAAAGTCCAGAGCCACACAGAATGCCAACAAAGAGCCCATTTTTGTGTTGATATTTTACCTTTGTAAATGTGTCAAACTCTATCATTTTTTTCAATTGAGAACATAAAGTAACAACCACTTTTACTAAAATTTTCAAAGGGAAAAATACTTCACCTACAGTTCTGCCCCCCAACACCTCCAATGTGAATTTCAATTTTCCTGTGACTCACACACACTCAACCCTCCTCTGGCACAACATGGTAAGCACGTTAAGGTGGTCTTAACAAAAACACCCTACATCCCTCATGGGGAGGAAAAGTGAGGGAGAAGCTGCTTGGTTGCCTGCACAGCGCAGGAGCAGCTGATATGGAATTGGACACCTGTCACCCCTACCATCATTATTAATGGTATAATAGCTAGAGCTCACTGAGTGTTTAGTGTGTGCAGGCACAGTGCTAATGACTTATTAAGCATAATCCCATCTAAACCACCAGTTTTCAAAGTGTGGTCCCCAATCTACCAGCATCAGCATCACTTGGTCACTTGGAAACATGTTAGAAATGCCAACACTCATGCCCCATCCCAGACCCACTGAATCAGAAACTCTGGGGGTAGGTTCAGAAATCTGATTTCAGCAAGCTGATGCACACCAAAATTTGAGAACCACAGATCTACCTATCACAACAATCCAACAAGGAAAGTACTTACTACCTCCCACTTTACTAATGTGAAAGCTAAAGACTTAAAGAGATGAACTTGTAGGCACCTAGTAAGGGGCACAGCCCACACTGGAACTCAGGCTTATTTGGCTCCAATGCCCATGAAGCTATCCTGCCCTCCCTGTTCAATACAATTGAGAGCTGACTGTCAATACCATCCTATTAGGGCTGCCACATGCAAAATGGCACCCCCCGCAGTTATGCAGTGTGGAGTCTGCATGACTGCACCTAGTGGCCCTGGTCCCGCCCCTTACACATAATAACTGAGGCAGAATGTCTTGCCCTTGTGAATCCTTGCCATGCTTCCCCCCAACCCCTTTGCCCCGCCTGGAACCTCACTTGGTCTTGTAATCCTCCACAACATCCTGCATGCTCCTGACCTCCAAGTTCTGGCGCATCTGTTCTGCATTGAGAAAATCCACCTGCTTCTGCAGCTGACTAATGTAGTTCTCAAAGATGGGTTCCACGTTGTTCGTCCGAGTTGAAGTGTTCACCTGCTGCAGCAGCTCCCATTTTAGAAAATCCACCTGCTTCTGCAGCTGACTAATGTAGTTCTCAAAGATGGGTTCCACGTTGTTGGTCCGAGTTGAAGTGTTCACCTGCTGCAGCAGCTCCCATTTCGTTTGTAGCACCTGGTTCTGCTGCTCCAGGAATCGCACCTAAGAGCGAGAGACCCCAATCCACCCCAAGCTATGGGTTGGAGCAGCTTCCCCATGGGTAGGGAATGAGCAGCCCCACAGCATATCCAGAACTTAGAGAATCAGGATGGCTCTTCTAGGGGTCGGAGAGCTTCCCTTTCTCTAGGACCAGGACACACAGAAGGCAATGTCATTTCTGACTGTTGACCAATGACTGTAAGGTCAACGTGCCTAAAATTAACACTCTGCTTTTGAAGGTAGATTACCTCCAACTGAATGCCTTGTTTCCTTTAGCTACAACCATTTACATCATAGAGCTCCCACCCTCCACATTCAATTTATCCAGGCCAACATAAGGAAATGGTATTCTGGAACATCTGAAGCACTAACACATCCAAGTTTCTTTCTCTTTGTGGTTGAAATGGATTGTGATTGAGGAGAGAAGGAACTCTGACCATCTGAGAGGCCAGCCCATGTTAATTCCCTTTGGATTCTGACTGTAGGCTGGAAAATGTTCACAAGAGAATACTATTTCACATGGCTTATTTTTGCTGGCTTTATCAAAGCAACAGATTAGGCAATCAGCTCTCATGGGCTTGTCAGCACAGCTCGCGACACCCTCGTGGGAAATTCCTGCCACTGTCTATTTTTACTCTGTGGTGGCACTCCCAGGGAGTGGAGAATCAATTCAACACTCATTCACAGCCCTGTGCTCATGGCAGTGACATTGTGGGAACAAAAATAAAAAATCTCACGGTGCCATAGGGAGTGTCTATGTAAAACAATGAGGGGGCAGTTACACAACTCTGGGGGCTCTGGGTTTAACCCAAGTATCCCAACCACAACATCTCAGGAGCTCAGTAAAAGACACTGTGGTTCTCACCAGGCCACCCAAACAGCAAGGGCAGAGGCTGGCTTCAAGGAGTGCCAGGCCATGTTCATGTGATTTAACCACTAGAAAATTTACTGAAAGCCATTGCGTTTCCCCCAGGTTCCCCAAAACATTCCTGGGCTATGTCCCACCAGCAAAACTCAGAGGAAGCTCAGATTAACACAGACAGAATGTAGCATCATGCTTCTAGCGGAAAAAAGCACAGCCCACCCCTCTGCCTCTCATGCCCTCTCCCTACTGCTCATGACTGTCCTGCCACAGTGACCTCCCAGTGCCCTCAACACCCCAAGTCTCCCCAACTCTTTGCCTGGCGAACTCCTACTTACCCTTTAGATCTCGACTGAAGTGGCGTCCCATGGGGCTCCCCTTTGTAACCTCTCATTCTTTGCCTTTATAGCATCTACTGAAATTTGCAGTCATTTGGTGGTATTTGGGCATCTGTCTCTCCCGGGTGGATTGTGACCCCATGAAAGCAGGTGCATATCTGCTTTGTTCTCCAGAGACACAATGGACCCATGGACACACAGTGCCCAACACAGAGAAGACAATAAGTATCACAACTCATGAGATGCAAAAGCTTTAGAATTCCCTGCTAGGGTGGGCTACCCAGGCCACTCACTACCCCTGGCATGGAAGACTAAAGGTCCACTGAGCAAGGCCAGCCCAGCGTCCCAGTGGGAGGAGCTGGACCCTTCCTTTCCCTCCTGAAGACCTATTCCCTTGTCATTGGTTCTAAAAAGCCTTTGTCTCCATTCTCCTCTCTGAGGGTCCAAGCCTGACACTTGAAGGGCTGACCCAATGTTTTATTTAACATATATTTATTGAGCAATTATCATGTGCCAGCCACTATTCTGGGTGTAGGAGATTCAATAATAAATAAAATAGACAAAATCCCTGCTTTCTAGGAATTTACATTCTATTCAGAGAAACGACTATAAAGAAATGAACATGTAATATATGTGGTGTATCAAATGGGTATAGGAGCTATAGAGAAGAGTAACACAGGGATAGGAATTCTGGGGTGGCAGGTGCTGCTTTAAGTAAATAAGGTCAGGGAAGGACTCACTGCAATGGTGGTATCTGAGCAAAGACCTTCAGGAGGTGAGGGAGGAAGGGAGGAAGCTGGGCCTCTCTCCGGTGGGAAGAGTTACAAGCAGAGGGAATGGCAGGTTCAAAGGCCCTGAGACAGGCCTGTGCTTGGGGTGCTGGAGGATGGAAAGAATGCAGCACTGTGCTGGAGAGCAGGAGAGGTGGCAGAGTGGGAGCTCAGGGTCAGTGTAGACAGGTGGGAGCTGGTACCTTGGGGCGCTGTTTTCCAGCCCTCACTTTGCTGCTCGCTAGAGCTTACAGTTTGAGATCTTTTCCACCCCGTGAGGGCAATGTTGCCTAATTCTCACAAACTTGAGGCAGGGGTTAGCAGCAGCTGTGGGTTGGAGGGACAGATCATATAAGGTCTTATAGGATTTTGGCTTTATTCCAAATGAGACAAGAAGCCAATGGAGGATTCAAATGGAGGAGTGATGTGACATGCTTTTAAAGGATGGCTCTGCTGTGGCATTGAGATTAGGCTGTATAGGGTTAAAGGTGAATGCTGGGAAACTAGCATCAGAAGTCACTGTACTAGAAGCCTCCCTTCCATCCATGCCAGAGCCCACCTGGCTGAGGAACCTCTCCTCATGATCACTACAGGCCATGCTCTTAGGGAAGGATAGGATGCCAAGATTTCTTGCACCTTGGCCTCTGCCCACAGCCTCACACCATAAAACTGGGCAGATGCCCTGTTAACAGCAGGAACCATAATCAAATGAGAGTCTCAGGAGACCAGTTGCAGCAGCCTGTGGTCATTTCACTAACCTCTAACCCTCTGTTTTCCCTGATCTTCCCTTGGCCCACCCTTGACCTCCCAGTGGTGTGTCCTTCGACTTCACCTCTTTGATCCAGTCAAACCCTTCCACTCCTTCCCTGTGCCTGAGATATGATGATATTCAGCCAAATTTCCCATCCAGGATGATCGTAAGTAGCCAGAAGCACTTTGCTCTGTTGAACTCCTTTTTGGCTATCTCTGGCCCTCAACACTCATCCCTCCTCCTTCTGCTCACACACTCTGTCCTGTCCCCAGCATTTACCTGGATATCAGGGGCCACCTCTGCAGCCTAACAGTGGCCTCTGCAGTCAGACCACAGGTCAAGCTCTGGCCTCAACACTGAACTCCTGTCAGGACTGAGGGAAAATCAGTGAGTGTGCAGGGGCCTCTGTGCTTCGTGGTACTTCCCACCACATCCCTGAAGGCAAAGTACTTTCCAGGGAGCCTCCGGCAGCTGGTGGGCCTCCATGTCTGGCCAAAGGCAATGCTGGAGGAAGGTCTTTACCATGGCTATTCCACCAGCCTCTGCCTGGTGATATGAGCCCAAACCAGACCTGATCTGAGGTTTATTCGGGGAACTAGGAAGAGGGGCTTCCATAGCTCTATCTAGCCCCTTCTTAGCCCTGAATCAGCTAAAAGAGGAACTCAGACAGAATCCTACACTGTATGCTATTGACTTTAGCCCCCAGAGACACCCACTTACTGGAGCATTCACCTAGGCTCTGCCACAGCCTACCCAGCCTGCTTCTCCTACCCTGCCTCTGCAGCTTCATCTCCAACAACCCCTTTGACTTTAGCCCCCAGAGACACCCACTTACTGGAGCATTCACCTAGGCTCTGCCACAGCCTGCCCAGCCTGCTTCTCCTACCCTGCCTCTGCAGCTACATCTCCAACACCCCCCTTCCCTCTGTTGTGCCACTTTCTCCATTTAAAATCCATTTTAATCACTTGAAATTCCCTAAAGGTGTCACACTTTCATGCTTCCTGGTCCTTCTACCTGGAAATTCTCTCTTCCCTGGGAACTTGCTTGACTCTTCTTCCACTGAGGTCAGACCTGGGGTCCCCAGTGAAGCCCACCTGGAACCCAGCAGGCAGAGTTCATGGCATCTTCCTTTGAGGTACTATGGCCCAGAGAGTACTACTCCTATTAAAATGCTTCCCTCACACTGTTGTAATTCTCTCTTCTTTAGATATGGGGCTCCTTGAGGGCAGGATCTGTGTCCTAGTCACCCCTGTAGCACCCGGCACAGTGTCTGGCATAGATTATATGTTAGTAAGTACTTGTGGGCTGAATGGGTGGATGGATGGATGAGTGGACTGATAGATGGGTGGGTGGATAGATGGGTGGATGTGTGAGTATGTGTGTGTATGTATATGTGTATGGATAAATGCGTGTGTGTATAGATGGATGGATAAATGGGATGGATGGATGGATGGGTGGGTGGGAAGTAAATAATGATAAATGAGAATGAGGTTATTACACCATGTATCGATTGAGTAGTTTCACACCCCTTATTTGCTATCCAGCAAAAAGGAAAAGATAGAAATAAATCCCCCCACAAAGACAAATTGAAGCCTAAATGAGGTAAATGCTTTCCTAAGGTCCCAGGACACACACGTCTGGAAGTGATTGTCATGTCACAATCAAACTGAAATAGCACAGTGTGGTGAGAGGTGGCTCTCTTGGCCATTTGGTCAGTGACCAAAGACTTTACCTGCCCATGAGGTACTCACCTTGTCAATGAAGGAGGCAAACTTGTTGTTGAGAACCATAATCTGCTCTCGCTCCCGGGTCTTGATTCTCTGAATTTCAGGGTCCACCTCCAGGTGAAGTGGCTCTAGGAGGCTCTGGTTAATGGTCACCTCTTGGATGCCCCCCGGAGGACAAGAAAGACCAAAGCCCCCAAGCCCAAAATTGCTAGCCCCGAATCTGGCACCCCCAAAACCACCTCCTCCATGGCCACCACCCCCAAAACTACCACCTCCAAAACCACCACCTCCAAAGCCACCACCCCCAAAGCCTCTACCCCCTCCAAATCCTCCTCCTGCTCCCCCACCCTGGCGGAAACCACTGGCACTTCTCCCCACTAGGCTAACGGAAATGCTTTTACTACCACCCAGATTGTAGAGGCTCCTAGAGCCAAACCCCCTTCCATAGCTCCCATACCCACCACCACCACACCTCCCTCGGGCCTGACACACAGACCCCACAGCCCGGCTCCCACCACCACGGCCTGCAGAAGCGCTAGTACTATAAACCCGCTTGCTCCTTGAACTAAATGCAGACTGAGAACTAAATTGGCGGCTCATGGTGCTGGAGCATCAAGAGAAACAGACAAGAAAAAGGGCCCAGGTGGAAAGAGGCAGAAACCAGGAAGGGAAGGAGATATGACTCCTGTGGAAGAGATCTGGCTCAGTCCCTATATATACATGCATTTGCTGGGCTGGGCACCTTCAGAATCCTGGGAGGGGAGTATTAATGTTTAGTTTGCCTGCCAGCAACATCTGTTTAAAACCTCACACCTATGAATTGCAGAAATTACATTGTAGACAAACTTCTCAAACTTGATCATTTATCATTCATCTCTTGCCATTTAGAGATCAGAATGCAATAATCTCTTGGGATCTAGTTGCTAGAAACTCCTATACAGTTTCCCCCCAAATCATTGATCTCTTCCTAAGAAACTGCACCACTGAGTTGTTTGTTTTGAGGTGTGCCTGGGAGATCTGGGGCAAAGCTAGGGGGTGTCTAGCTACCTCGGGACCACAGCTGGGACAAGGGTGGAGACACCCACTGTCATAGCATTGTCCTGATGGGACAAAATTTTTGTTCTGACCTCCTCACACTCTGCTTCTGCTCCCTACTGTTATCATCCACCCCGTGCACCCCAAATTTTATCACATGAAACATGGTATTGTGGTCACTGAGTGTAAGTGGAAGCTCAGAGACTGCCCAAAGTTACCCACAATGTGTGCTGCTCTGTAAGCCTCTGGCTTCTGAGGTCTGCAGCTGTAGATTTGCTGAGCATATACCACTAGCTAATATTGTCTTCTAGACCAGGAGACAAACTATCCCAAAATATCTCTTTTTCCATTGTATCATTTCCAATCTGTTATAGACAATACTTTTGTAAATAGAATAAAATAAATTGCATTTTAAAAGAGATAAAAAGAAAAACGAAGACATACAAAATGCAAGCCCTAACACTATTTTTAGATTCAACAACATAAAATTATTCTACTGCTAACAATAACAGTAATAATAAAAAGTTTCTAAAGGATTACTCTTAAATTCTATATTTATCATGAACCAGTAACAAAGCACCCATGTACCTTCACTGGTCTGTGCCCACACTCTGAGAAGGGCTGTTCCAGACAACATGCCTGGGGTGAAGCTCATTCAATGAGCATCGGCGTCGGCCAATAAAAACACGTATTTGCCCTCTGGACTCAAATAGCTGTGGCTTTCATCTAATATGTAATAATATTTTTAAAAGAAAAAGAAAAAACCTAAAGGTCCAACCTCAGACAAAGGCTAAGTGATGGCTTGCCCACTTGGATGTAATTATTTAAAGTCACGATCATTGTGGAGATGTGTAGCAGAACTGGAAAATGCTTGTGATACAATGTTAAATGAAGGGAGCAGCATACTCAGTGGGATCTGTGCTATGAAAATTGAAAATTCAGAATGCAAATAAGGCAAGCTTTAAAAGCAACACAGAAAGTGAATTGATTTATTAGGGATTGTGGGAGGCTTTTCTCTAGTATTTTAAATGTCTTTTTCCTTTGCGTTCATATGATAAATAAATATTCTTGCTAAAGTTGGGGCTGAAATCACAGCTGCCCTAAAAGATGGGGCAGAAATTTCAATAGAGGTGAGAAAGGGCAGATGGTAGGAAGGAACAAGAGGGGTGTCGGGGAGCAGCAGTGAGAAGACCTTCCAGGGCTGGGAGAGGCCAGGAGGGCAGCTTCAAGCTTCCACACCTTCTTATCATTTACCTCTGTTTAACATGCTTAGTAAGTTTTAGTGGGTCATCTCCAAGAGACACTGGAGTAGAAGGGAGAGTGAGCCTGGAACTTATAGACAGAAGAGATGGTTTTACCTCCCAACCTTGCTTCTCTTGGCAAGCCTCAGATACTTAAAGAATCATAACGTCTATTTCTCAAGAATTCAGTGCTATAAGGTGAGATGGGAGAAAGCACAGAATCCAATAATACCTTAAACAAACATAAACAGAGCTGCTCACAGATCCTGGTAGGATGACAACTGTCCTGCTTTGCCCGAGATTTTCAATGCTTAAACCAGGACAGTCCTGGGGAAGTCAGAATAGCTGGTCACCCTAGTTCTAGACACCTTCAGTCTACATGTCTCTAATCCTAACCCTAACATCCTTGGGAAGCTCTTGGTAGGAGAGGGAAGCCAGTGCTTGGCCCCCAGCACAGAAAGATAAGAGAACCAGTAGATCCAGAAGAAGGGAAGAGAAGAGAAGCTAGGGAATGGGATGGCTTAGTGTGAGAAAGTTGCCTGAAGGCAAGGATTCTCAGTCAGGAGAGGCAGAGAGAACAAAGCAGGGAGAGGAGGCAGAGGTCTGGCAGAGAAAACCGGGAGTGTTATGGAGAAGGGACAGGAGGTCCCAGGCAGGAAGCAGCAGTGGTGTGGTGAAAAGATCCTTGGGTTGGGCATCTTAAAATCTGGCTGTGAAACCTAGGTCTGCCCCTTCCTAGCCCCACAGCTTAGACACCTAACTCTTTGAGCCTCAGTTTCCCAGCCTCTAAAATAAGAATACCAGCTTCACAGGGTGACTGTAATGAGTTGCTGAGATCAAATATGGACAAGAACTTTGTAAGCTCTAAGGAATCATACAAGTGGGGCTCATCCTCCCAACCTCTCACCAGCCTTCCCTGAACACTCTAGACCATGGCAACCCACCTCTCTCACCAATGCTTTTCTGCACCACTCACTGCCACCCCAGTGACAAAGGAGGTGCATGATTAACCCCTCCACATATGTCTCCATTGCTAACTAAATAAACAGGAAGCTCCTTGATGTTGGGATGAAACTTCATGGACCAGGAGCCCCTTTTCTCCCCCAAAGGTGCCTATGGAATTGCTGGGTAAAGTAGGACAATAACACGGACATGGCCAGTTGAGTGACACTGCAGACCAGCACAGGGACGTCTTGGAAAACCAGGAGCTTGGGCCTCAGAATTAGTCAGCCTGGAGGTGAAGCACAGCCCCACCTCTGACTAATTTTGTGACTGAACTACTTACTGAGTTCTCTGGACCCTGCTCATCTGATGTTTAAAGCACATAGCACAGCACTTGAAGATAGTAACTATTTTTAAATGATTGCTATTATTACTGGTCTTATTGTGTGGCTATGGCTACAGCATCGAGACCTGTGAGTACTATGAGAGATTTTAGAAACAGAAGCAACTGGAGAAGCTTTCACAGAAGCAAAGGCTGGGCTCTAGCTAACCTTGAAGGATATGTTATGCAGCATGTCCAAGAATACAGGAATGAAGGCGGTAGAATGGATATCTGAACCAAGGCATTCACACCCTGGAACCTAGGTGTACTGAAGAGGAAATGGGGTCCTTGGAGAGTGATGTGCCCTCTTCCCCCTCTCACCATCTCTCCACCTGCCACCAGTGAGTTTCTCCTTAAAAGGAAATTGGGAAGACAGCTTGCCCAGCCTGTCTCCCAGGTACTGAAACCCAGGGCTGCCAAGAGGGTGAGGCCCGGAGCAATTATCAACCACCCCAATCAGTCTCGGGCAACAGTGGGAAGCAGGGTTCGAGAGAAGCTGCTGGTGCGACCTGCAGAGGCAGCCCGCGCAAAACTATGTCTCACCTCACCCAGCATCTCCCAGGGTCTGGAGGTGGATATCAGAGGTGAGGCAGGGGTGTGGGGACAGTGGAAGGGAGGGAGGGAGCATCTCACTCACCAGCCCCCACCCAGGCAGAGGGGAGAGCTGCAGCCCTGGTGTAGGTATGAGGACCTTTAATCTCCTTGATATGGGAGCTTTTTGACTTGTAATCGGCAGAAGAGAGGCAGTGATGTGACCCAGATCAGGAAGAGCAGCCTCCTGGGACTGAATAGAAACTCCTGGCCTTGGCTTCCCGTACCCTCAGACCACTCTTCTCCCTGCATAAGAGTGTCAGAACCAGACACGTGGCCTAAATCAGCCCAGTGCCTTTGAAATAGCTACAGACAAAGGAACTTGGTCAAAGTTACAGAAAAAGTTGGTGGTACCGCTAGAACTAGGGCTTGGTTATCCTCCCTCCCAATCCAAAAGAAAATAGGGAGACCTGCGAGAAATTCCCAGGTGCCTCTGTACTCCTGCAGCCTGGCAGAGATGAGTATAGGGGGAGCTCCACCTGCAATGTCTAACAGGCCCTGCATACAGGGGTGAGAAGGCAGTGCCGAGCACACAGGAGCATCACTGGTGAATCCTCCTGAGCGCTGGGTTAGGGTGGTGTTTGGGGCAACGACTAAGGCCTTAAGCTCCTCCTCAGGCCCCAAGCCAGCCAGGACCTCACCTTTGAAATCCCTTTGACTAGAACCTCAGGGCCTCCCTAGAAACTAAAGATCAGGCTGTCTCCTCCTTCTCGTCAAATCTAATAGGTACTCTTGGGTCTGAATATTGCATGGAAGCCCTTACGATGCCTCAGAGCAGCTCTGCAAATTCCCATGGTTAAAGTCCAGAGATAATATTGTTCCAGGCATGTTATGGCTCTTACATCCAACATGCTGGAAGTCATGACTATTGATACAGCCATTTATAAAACGAGCAGCTTTCTCCTGTCTCTGAGGCAAAGAGAGAAGCTGGGCAGGTGCAGACCCAAAGGAAAATAAGGCTGCAGGTTAGACTTGGATTCAATTCCAAAAGAAACAGTGAGGTGCCAGCAGAGGAACAGGGTTGTCTGGGCCAAAGATGCTCCCATATGTTAGATCAAAGAGGGAGACAGGGCAGACTCAAGGTTATAGGGCTAGTTAATGGTGGGGTGGGAACCAGAATTGCAAGTCCATGAGCGGAATATGGGACCTGTGGCAAATTCCCAGTTCATGTCTCACCTTGCCCATAGTGGGAGAGATTAGAGTGCTATACAAACATAAGCAATTAACGACTTATTATTATTCTCTCCATTTAAAGAATAGGCAGGTTTCTGAAACATTGGCCATAACTAGCAAAGACCCTTTATTGAGCTCTTACAGTGTGCCAGGAGTTAAGCAGGTGACGTCATTTCATCTGTACAACCACATTTTACTGACATGTTTGGGTGGGCGTTGGGATGTGGCCAAACAGC